TAAAGATAAGGGCAACAGTCCGACCGATGTAAATAGTATAAATACTCACAATACATTATCTCAGAAATACACTGCTATTAACACAAATCGATACCTGTAAGGAAAATAAAAGAGACGAAAGCTATTATTATTATTATTATTAATATATTAAGATGAAGGTGTATTAGCAATATTAGTATTATTATACACCCCATATATATATATATATATATATATATATATATATATATATATATATATATAATAAAAAGAAAAAGAACAGTAAGATATATAATTCGGTGTTCTTATTAATATTTTTATTTTTACAAAACAGTGCTCAATGCAAGCCTACAGAGAATAAATATTATAAATTCACTTATTAAAAAATATGGTTCTATCGCTGCACAGGAATTACCATGTTTCAAAAACAGAAACTAAAAACTCCAAATTCAATTATATTAAATTAAAGTCATTTTTAAGCGAAAATGAAACAGAACTGAGGACTTTAATTTAATTCTATGATTTAATTTGTAGTTTAAATTTCTGTTTTTGAAACATGGTAATCACTGAGTAACGATAAAATATCTTTTAAATAAGTAAATTTATAATATATATATATATATATATATATATATATATATATATATATATATATATATATAATATATGTAAATGGATATAGATCCGACAGAACGAAGAAAAATTTGGAAAAAACAAACCAAAAATCCTTACATGCAATTATGTTGTTTAAAATGAATGAAATGTCGACGTCTGACGTTTCGGTTTAATAAACCTTTTTCAAGACAATATTCATTAAAATACAATTCAGTTCAATTTGACAAAGACGATGGACATAAACAACAAGTCTTATCCAAAACAGATAACTGAAAATTTTTAAAATGATCAGCTTTCCGTTTAGCATGGTCACGTTGTCGTCACATGTGCGACGCTTTCAAAACGTATTCCTAAAAATTTTTGATTATTTTGAATGAAAAAGAAAATGAAAAAATTCTATTAGGATCTAAAATTTTTATGTGTATGCTTGTCGAGCATTAATCTCGCTAAAAAAGGGGAAATATTAAAGAAACCAGGTCTAGTATTCACCGTGCGTGAGATGGATAAGCGTCACCCATGTGACGACAACGTGACCATGCTAAACGGAAAGCTGATCATTTTAAAAATTTTCAGTTCTCTGTTTTGGATAAGACTTGTTGTTTATGTCCATCGTATTTGTCAAATTGAACTGAATTGTATTTTAATGAATATTGTCTTGAAAAAGGTTTATTAAACCGAAACGTCAGACGTCGACATTTCATTCATTTTAAACAACATAATTGCATTTAAGGATTTTTGTTTGTTTTTCCAAATTTTTCTTCATATATATATATATATATATATATATATATATATATATATATATATATGCAGAAATATAGCTTTAAAGTGTGCTATATTTATGGTATAAAGTGCTCAATATCAGAGATAGAGCGTATGTAAATATAAATATAAAAGTGAACATTGAAGTTAACACGGCCTGGCGATTGCATCTAGCATGAAACAGCCTGTCGCCTCTGAGTGTTGACTTGAATGTTCACTTATATATATATATATATATATATATATATATATATATATATATATATATATATATATTAGATTAAGATTTGAACTGTTGTATCTTAGAAATTATTAGAGATATCGTACTGGAATTCTCCGAGGTTGTTATAATACTATTGAACCTTACTTCGAACGATAAGAATGTATTTAGCTCTAAGCTCATGATCCACTTTACCTCTCGTCTGTTCTCTCTTTTCTAAACTTATTCACCGTTCTCTTGATGGTTCTTGAATGGACTTTGAAGATGGAAGCCACAGTATGGATGTTGGTAAAGGCCTGAATAATCTTTTTTCTCTCACCATTGCTTAGTTGAGAAAACATAGTGGGGCTGACACAAAACGATTTTAACCTGTTCTCTTTCTAGCGGAATACCTCAAAGAGCTTTGTAGTGATTCTTACGACAAATGGTGTCAAGATAGCTAAACGTCTTAACTGAAAATTTTGAAAACAGAAACTGAATTAGTTTAGGTGTTTTTTTTAGATATTAAATATTTTGTGGAATGGACAGTTATCCCATGTTGTTACACGATTTGGACAATTTTTGTGTTACACCCGATATATACATACATACATACATACATACATATTGTGGCTTTGTTTGTAGTTGATATTGTTAAGAATTGGCTTTTTCTCTTAACCATATCAACTACGAACAAAGCCACAATGTGACACCATTTACGAGGCAGAGAAAGGAAAAGAAAGAAAAGAAGGCAGAAAGAAAGGCGAGACGAATCGTGGGTGATCAGCAGAACACACACACGGCTAAGAGACAATGAATATATTGATAAGTAACAAATGACGAAAAGGGTGTCATTACAATGACAGGTAAATTCTGAGTAAAAAGATAGGGAAAGAAAGAAAGAAACAGATGTGTTTTGATAACGGCTGTGTTATCTAGGAGTACGTAAACAAAACGGCTGGTCGGCTGGCTAGGGAAAAATTCAATTGAAAACGTTAATTTTGATAATTGACAAAACACAGGTGTAACTACAGGACTTTGGGTAGATATGAAAAATTAAAAGCCATACAAGCCGTGTCCGCTGACCGATTTTTTTCGACGAAACAACTTTGGCCTGCGATAATAAAATTATGTTATCAGAAATATGTACCGAAGGAAAATGAATGGGGACCCAGAAGTGTTTTTTCTTCTTCCTTGGAGGCGACAGACTGACTGAAACTTTAGAGATATTTCTTTTTTGAGGCCGTGTTAAGAAGACCACCAATTTCGATAATTGGCGATAAAATACGTGACAAAAACCACGTGTAGAACAAGAGTTGTCATATTGTCCGTTTGCGGCTAGAAAAATGATAACGGCGATTAAAGCGGAAGAAAAGGGAAAGAGAAGAGATAATTTTTTTTAGTTAAGCAAGATATTTTTCCCCCGAAACAAAGCCGCGGATTGTTAACGCCCGACTAAGATATCATTGGTCAAGTGATGATCACGTGACGCACGAAGGAGGAGGAAAGATACCCGACTAAGACCTCATTGGTCGAGTGGTGATCACGTGACGCACGAAGGAGGCTGTCGACGCCTCATCCAGAGTATAAGTATGAAAAGCTGCTACGAAGAAGTGGGGAGGGCAGTTCACGCCCTCTGAAGTATGGTGAGAAAGTGGGAGTAAGGAAAGGTTCCCAAAAATGGAAAAGAGTGGAAAATCCCTAACCAGAAATAAAAGAGGTGGATATGTATTTAGAATTATCGAGGAACCCCCGACGCCGACAGACCTACCCCGGTTTTGGTCGGCGTCAATAAAAGCGAGGCCCCAACAGGCAGAAATCAGAGTTCGGGCTCCAGCGGAGAGTTGAGTTTCCAGAGTTGAAGCCGCCTCGCAGATAGCTGACCAAGATTCACGCAAATTCCGGACTCCACTTCAACCCAAAAACAATTATTTTGAAGAGCGACTTAGATCCAGGCCACCGAAATAAATTTTTTTTCGACTTTCGTCCAAAGACACACCGAAACGCCAATTTCTTAGAGAGCAAACAACTTGAAGCGTTAAAACTTGCCTAACGGAAAACGACGTGTCACAATCCACAGAACGGGTCGGGAGATAGATGCAGTCCTATGTATCGAACAACTAGACATAAAGTTTGTTACCTTTTTCTTTGATACTTTGAACTTTTTGAGTTTTCATTTTCTTTTCTTTTATGCATATTTGTGTAGTATCACCCCCGTTGAACTCAGTTTGCATTACGGCCCCAACCACTGTTTGATCTCGTCTGCCTAAGATCAATTCACAACGTGGGTAGGCGGACTGGAGATCAATGCAGTTACCTTGGTAACCAGGCGTTGGAAGCGAATTGGGAACGACGAGGCTGATATCAAATCTAATCAGATTCCCACCCGAATCACCAAAAGGTTAGAACGTCACATTTGGGTGCCGCGATCGATACCAAGCCAGTTGGTCGTCACAGGACGAGACAACACGACTGACGCGACAGGCGGACGTCACGTTTGGAGCAGCGACACCCGAACGGAGCAGCGAGGAGCGAACAGCTGGCGCCGCGGCGAGGACGTCTGGTTGGTGCTGTTTGGGACGTCACAACTGGCGCCGTGGTAGATCAGGATAGAACGTCACAGTCGGCGCTGCGACCGGGGGACGACGTCACAACAATGTGCTAACCGTATTCGGAAATTAAAAACATCCCGACCACACACTAAGACATACACAGAAAGCAGTCACTCAATTAAGCTGAAAACCGAATCATCCTTGATAATGGCTAAAGGTATAGCCGAAAGCGCTCGGAAATATAAAACATTTGGACAGTTCTTGTCCGAACACAAGAAAAATTAAATAAAAAAGCTTAACCGTAGTACCTTGTCTGTCGTTTTTAATGAAAAACATATATATATATATATATATATATATATATATATATATATATATATATATATATATATATATATATATATATGTGTGTGTGTGTGTGTGTGTGTGTGTGTGTATGTATGTATGTATGTATGTGTGTGTGTGTATAGTAGCACGTTTTAATATCCGATATATAGAAATTCGTTTTATAATCTTGAAAGCATCAATACACGCAGAAGCAAACTGACATCGCGAACTTAGTTTGACCGGAAAGTATCTAGCCATATAAAAATCTTAAATAATCATTCTTCGTATTTTATATAGATTTTTTTTTTGGCAGAACATCGCGTAATCCAGATCTGTTATTAACCTCCATTTTACTCCATAGTCCAGACTTGATTCATTAAGACTTTTAGATTTTTCCTAAGTTAAAAAACATCGTTGGTATGGAAGGGATGTCATTTTTCTTTCTTGCTACTTGCATTTAGCGCTTTCTGTCTTTGGGATTTTTGTTTTTTGTTCTTTCTTTTTGTAACTTTTTCTTTTATCGCCATTTTATCTTACCTTACTAATTTTCGTTCTTTATTTCAGACATGAGATTATTCCTCCTTTCTTTCTTTCTTTCTTTCTTTCTTTCTTTCTTTTACTTCTTTAACGTCTTTTCTTTCTTTCTGTCTTTCAATTTGTCATCTTCTTTCTTTCTTTCTTTCTTTTACTTCTTTAGTTAACGTCTTTTTTTCTTTCTGTCTTTCAATTTGTCATCTTCTTTCTTTCTTTCTTTCTTTCTTTCTTTCTTTCTTTTACTTCTTTAACGTCTTTTCTTTCTTTCTGTCTTTCAGTTTGTCATCTTCTTTCTTTCTTTCTTTTACTTCTTCAGTTAACGTCTTTTCTTTCTTTCTGTCTTTCAATTTGTCATCTTCTTTCTTTCTTTCTTTCTTTCTTTCTTTCTTTTACTTCTTTAGTTAACGTCTTTTCTTTCTTTCTGTCTTTCAATTTGTCATCTTCTTTCTTTCTTTCTTTCTTTCTTTCTTTCTTTCTTTCTTTTTACTTCTTTAGTTAACGTCTTTTCTTTCTTTCTGTCTTTCAATTTGTCATCTTCTTTCTTTCTTTCTTTCTTTCTTTCTTTTTTTTCTTTTTAGTTAACGTCTTTTCTTTCTTTCTGTCTTTCAATTTGTCATCTTCTTTCTTTCTTTCTTTCTTTCTTTCTTTCTTTTACTTCTTTAGTTAACGTCTTTTCTTTCTTTCTGTCTTTCAATTTGTCATCTTCTTTCTTTCTTTTTCTTTCTTTCTTTTACTTCTTCAGTTAACGTCTTTTCTTTCTTTCTGTCTTTCAATTTGTCATCTTCTTTCTTTCTTTCTTTCTTTCTTTTACTTCTTTAGTTAACGTCTTTTCTTTCTTTCTGTCTTTCAATTTGTCATCTTCTTTCTTTCTTTCTTTCTTTCTTTTACTTCTTTAGTTAACGTCTTTTCTTTCTTTCTGTCTTTCAATTTGTCATCTTCTTTCCTTCTATAAGATAATTAAAAAAAATAAAAAAACATAAAAATAAAAATAGATTTAAATTATCTTTTAAATAGTTTTATTTTGTATTTATTTTGCAGTCATACACTTATTTTGCATTATTTATTGAATGTTATATGCTTTGATTTATGTATATGTATATGTTTTTGTGTATTTTTTGTATGTGCGTACATGTGTATGTATGTATATGTATATATATATGTATGCATATATATATATGTGTGTATACCAATATATGTGTATATATACATATATAGGTATATGTGCGCGTGTTTATATATGTATGTATGTATATATATGTATATGTATGTGTGAGTGCATTATATATCGATATATATGTGCATTATTGTGTACATATGTAGATATATGGATAAAATGGGGTGTTTACATGTATGTATATTGTGCGGGTATTTATGCGTGCGTGTGTTTATGTATGTGTATGTAGGTTTTTATATATGTATATGTGTAAATATATATATGTGTATATATGTATACATGTGTGTATATATGTATGTGTGTATGCATTGTATATACAGTGTAACCCGGATATAAGAGACCCGGATATAAGAGAAACCCGGATATAAGAGAGATTTTCTCTGGTCCCAAATTAGAGCCTGTGTTAATGTAAACAAAATAGACCAAACCCGGATATAAGAGAAACCCGGATATAAGAGACTTCTTCTCCGGTCCCGACAACTCTCTTACATCCGGGTTACACTGTATGTGTTGTGTGTTTGTATGGATACGTATATCTGCATGTTTATATGTATATGCCACACACACACACACACACGCATACACACACATATATATGATGTATTTTATTATTATGAAGATGAATTAGATTTTAAGCTTGTTTCATATATTGTATTATTAATTTTTCACTCTTTATATATATATGATAACGATTGTTATTATACTGACGTAAATTAGATGATGACGATATAAATTTTGATGTAATTTCACTATATTTCACTAGCTGTCACTTGTACTTTCCTACTCATTGTACTGACAACTTGCTTCTTTTGTCCCCACCCCCCCAGTAAAATTTTTCTAGGTCAAAGAATTTAGACATTTACTTCCCGTTCTCTTGCGGTTTAATTTTGAATAAGTTTTGATATATATATATATATATATATATAAATAAAAAGAAAGAACAGTAAGATATATAATCCGGTGTTCTTATAGGTATTTTTATTTTTACAAAATAGTGCTCGATGTAAATTTACAGAGCATTAATATTATAAATTAATTGATTTAAAATATGTTTTTTTCCGATATATATATATATATATATATTTAAACATTTTTGTAACTTATCTGTCGAAAAAAATTTATTACCCAATTCATCGATGATGTGTTAAGTTTTTTGTTTTGATATATATCATATTGCTCTGTATATAAATATATTGAACTCTCTTCATGGATCTATTTTTTAATATTTTATATTAAAAGACCTACTTGGATTATCCCTACCACTTACGGTTTGATATTGTTATTTATTATCTCTCTCTCTCCTTCTCCTCTTTCTTCCCTCTCTCTCTCTCTGTCTGTCTGTCTGTCTGTCTCTCTCTCTCTCTCTCTATATATATATATATATATATATATATATTAGTGAATATACATAATATCCAACATCGATAGCGCGACTCGGGTTTTCATGCAGTTCTTGCAATCTTCAGGTGCAAATATAATCCGATCGTTATATAGTTTGCGTTCTCCTGGTTCTCGTGACTATATATATATATATATATTCACTAATATATCCTGATAGCGCTGTTTCCCAACATTGAGCACTGTATTTAATACTTGAGAGAGATATGAAATTAATCCCTCCCTATACTCTACTATGTCTCTTTAACTATGCCTTTTACACTCTCTGTTAAATTACAAAAACTTACACTATCCATCAATTTTAATTTCATTTTTCGTTTCATTTCATTTTTGGAAATGCTACCTGATGATCCGACGTCCTTTAAAAGGGCTCTGATGAAATAAATTATTATAAGGGTACCTTAAAGTGGTCTGTTTTTCTTTTAAATATTAGCTCTGGATTTACATTGAGCTCTCAGGATTTCATCCTCCTTGGGATTACCCATACGGATTACCAAGTTCTTCATAATTTATATATATATATATATATATATATATATATATATATATATATATATATGTGTGTGTGTGTGTGTGTGTGTGTAGATCCGTAAAACTTAATTTTCCCCCAGATATTATGAATAGTTTAGATGTAATTTCACGCTTTTTATTTTAATTATCGTTACTGCTTATTTTTTTACTATATTAATTACTTGTAAGTAACTCTGTTTTTCTCTTCGTGATTTCATATTTTTTCCCTTTTTCACTCCTTTCCCCATTCAGTTAAACTGACAAAAGTGCTTGGCCTCTTCTTAAATCATGTCCTGCAGCTCTCTTACAGTTTAACTCTTTTGTCTACTGACATTATGTTTTTCTTCCACATAAATTTTCTTTCCAATATATTCCCCTCCTCGCCACTTCACTCTCTTTCTGGAACTTTCCCTCTGGAGCAACCTGTCCCTCTTGATGCGTTTTCTCTTTATATTATCTCTGTTCTGCAATCATCCATTTTTGTATCCTTTCCCTTTCTTCAATTTTCATAGAAACGCACCTTTTCGAACTGTCTGTTCTTTTTGAGGCTGCTCAGAGTACTTTTCTATGAAAACACAATCACTGTCACTGAATTCCCGGTTATGACATTTCACGTATTTATTTATTTGTTTTTATACTTCATATGACTTTTTTTTTTTCTTTCGTTACTTCTCACTTTTCGTCTGTACAGCGTTCAATTTGTAGATTTCGTCCGCGTTCGCATTTTTATTTTCCTCCACATCTTTGTCCAGCCTCGTTTTCATTTCACCCCTCCTTCCTTTTTCGATCTCATAACTCGCTTTTACTTTTCCCTCTTTCTGTCTTTTCCTATCTCACATTGCGCCTTTACCCTCTCATTCATTTTTAAGCTTTTTGTCGCACTTTCCAAATTAATTCTTTCTGCCACTTATTTCTTCTTTTTCCTCTTCCTTGTTTTTCCTTATTTTTTTCACTCCCTTTTCACACCTAATTGTTTTTACTTCTCTTCCAGTTTCTCTTCCTGACTTCAAGTCTCCCTTTGTTACCATCAGTGCACCGTTTTGGCTTTGTTTTTCAAATATCTGTATCCTCGAAAAAGTCACCATCATTCATATTCAATAGTTTATTGAATTTTTGTTCATTTTTCTATTACATTATATTTTCTAGTGCAAATAAACAAACATTTTCTTTTCGTGGCATTTAATTCAGCTCACGTTTTTAAGGATGTGTGTTATATTCATTTGAAGCGGTTATAAAAAGGCTACTTTCGTTGCTACAATTGTGATAAAACTCTGGTTACGAGCACCTACTTCTCTTTTCTATTACTGCAATGATTAGTCTCTTGGTTTTTAGTAGATTTACACATTTTTTTGTAAGTTTCACTAATATATTTTACCCACTCGATTATTGCTTCAGTTTTAAATGTTATTCTTTCTTTCTGTTAACATTTTTCTTTCTTTCTTTCTTTCTTTCTTTCTTTCTTTCTTTCTTTCTTTCTTTCTTTCTTTCTTTCTTTCTTTCTTTCTTTCTCAAAATGTCCTTTCCGCAAATTTCGCTTTCTCTCTTTCAAAAGATCACTTTTCAAATTTTCATTTAATTTCTTTTTTCCTACTTCAAAATTTCTTTCTTTCTTTCTTTCTTTCTTTTTTTCTTTCTTTCTTTCTTTCCCAAAATTTGATTCTTTCAAAATGTCTCTTTTACAAAATTTTGTTTCATTTCTTTCTTCCCGCCTCAAAATTTCTTTCTTTCTTTCTTTCTTTCTTTCTTTCTTTCTTTCTTTCTTTCTTTCCCAAAATTTGATTCTTTCAAAATGTCTCTTTTACAAAATTTCGTTTCATTTCTTTCTTCCCGCCTCAAAATTTCTTTCTTTTCTTTCTTTCTTTCTTTCTTTCTTTCTTTCTTTCTTTCTTTCTTTCTTTCTTAAATAATTTCTTTCTTTCTGTCTTGTTTGTTTCTTTCTTAAATAATTTCTTTTTTCTTAAGTAATTTCTTTCTTTCCTTCTTAAATAATTTGTTTCTTTCTTTCTTTCTCAAATAATTTCTTTCTTTATTTCTTAAATAATTTCTTTCTTTCTTTCTTTTTCATTCTAACTTGTAATATTTTCTATCTTATTGCTAAACATCTCTGTCCTTGACGTTTTCCCATGACATTTTTTCAGTTCATTCTTTAAATACTTTCTACTTCACACTTTCTTTTTCTTTACACAATTCCTCTTGACATTTCATTCTCTCTTTTTCCATTATTCCTTCCCTCTTTTTTTTTGTCTCTTTCTCTCATCGAGCTGCTCAAACAGCTTCTATTGTCTCTTCTTGTTCATATTCAATTTTAAATGTCATCATTTTGCTTCTAGATTTCTTTAGTTCTTTATACATTTATCATTCTTTTCCTTATCTTTTTCTTTCTTTCTCTTCTCTCTTCTTTTTAAACTCTTATTCTTTTAAATTTTGTTGTCACTTTTTGATAGTTTTAACTTTATTTTCTTTGCTTGTTTATTTTCTTATATTTCTTTTTACCTGAAATAATTTTCAGTTTTGATATTTTTGATTAAAATATTTTTTCTCTGATTTCTATCACAATGCATTTAATTATTAATTTTGGGAATAAATTTGCTACTATTTATCCTTTTCGTTTTCGATCTTTCCTTCTCACTTTTTCTTGGTTAATTATTTTCTTTCTTTCTTTCTTTCTTTCTTTCTTTCTTTCTTTCTTTCTTTCTTTCTTTCTTTCTTTCTTTCCTTCTTTCTTTCTCAAAAATTTCCTTTCTTTCTTTCTTTCTTTCTTTCTCAAAATTTGATTCTTTCAAAATGTTTCTTTTTCAAAATTCGTTTCATTCCTTTTCTTCCTGCCTCAAAATTTCTTTCTTTCTTTCTTTCTTTCTTTCTTTCTTTCTTTCTTTCTTTCTTTCTTTCTTTCTTTTATCATATTTGTTTTACAGTTTTTTTATCCACTCCCTTCTTTCCTTCTCAAAATTCCTTTCTTTCTTTCTTTCTTTCTTTCTTTCTTTCTTTCTTTCTTTCTTTTATCCTATTTGTTTTACAGTTTTTTTATCCACTCCCTTCTTTCTTTCTCAAAATTCCTTTCTTTCTTTCTTTCTTTCTTTCTTTCTTTCTTTCTTTCTGAATTTGTATTTCCCTCTCTTCGATTTTTTATTTCTTTCTCTCTCAAAGAAAAAGAAAAACAATTGTGAAAGATCAAATTACAAATTTCTCTTCTTCTCTCTCTCACAAAATTTCTCTTCTTCTCTCTCTCACAAAATTTCTCTTCTTCTCTCGTTCTCAAAATTTCTCTTTATTTCTAACTCAACATTTCTTTTTTCCTCTCTCTCAGAATTTCTCTTTCTATCATGCTGCTTCTTAAAATTCCTCTTTCTTTTTCTCCCTCTCACAAACGTTCACTTTTTTTTCTATCTCTCTCAAAATTTTCTTTCTCACTATTTCTCTTTCGAAATATCTTTCTTTCTCTTTTAAAAGTTCTTTCTTTTGCTTCTGCAATTCCATTTTCGTTCTCTTATAAAAAAAATTCCTTTATTGTCTTTTTTTCTTTTTCTTTCTCCGTTCTGGTTTCACCATAAAACCACACAGCCTAAAATCCCATTGGAGTCTATTACGTCATCATCCGGGCCACTACCGTCTCATCCATGCCTATTACAGTCGATACTACACAATGCTTAATGAAACAGTTTATCCTCGACGCCGAATGAAGGGACCATGGAGACTTCGTTTTCGTTTCTACCAGCTTTTCATGTCAACTGGAATTCTGATATCGTGTGACAGCAATGATATACAACGCTCGATGCGGGAACCCCCCTTTTACCTGACATGGTCTTTCCAGTACGGTGCGGCTCACATCGCCAGCGTGTCTGCCTCGCCGGTCTCATGGGCTGTTTTTGCCGCTATCTCCAACGCTTTTAATTGATTCTTAAGTTTGAGATGACAACAACTGAGGCCCCCTATGGATCAATTAGGGGCTGGTTGCTGGCTTTTCGACGTTGTCTTTGTTACTAAGATACTTCTATTTTCTGTCACTTCTCCACACACTTACGCTTCTACAATTTGTGCCGTGACTGTCTTTTTGCGAAATTTGGCGCGTCGCTGCACAACACAAGCGAATTTGTTTTAAATGCTTCAAAAAGTACTCTCTGATAGAGACAGAGAAACAGATAGTCAGATAAGTACAGAGTGCGATAAGTATATTGCCACCATTTTATATTTTTAATCTCGTGCATGTGCATTGTTTGTTTTTTTATTTTGTCGACTGCACAGCATAGTAGGGTCAGTTGGGCAGAGTCCGTGAGAAAAAGAGCACCATGCTGTACTGCTTGGCATTCGCACCGGACGCTCCAATACGACCATTTCAGAGTTTTTGGGTGTCAATCTAAGGACAATGTAGAGGAATTGGAAAGAGTTGGATGAGTCTAATGGCGATTACGAATGTACAATAGCTCGGAAAACTCTGATCGTTCTGATAAGAAAAGAACTCCAGAATTTTTGGTGAAGGTCTCAAACTCAACACGGAGGCTACATCAAGTACTTTGAGGAGGTAGTACTGCCCTGGGCCAAGCGGGTAGCTGCTGGAAGACCCTCTGTCTAATAACAAATAGGAGAACCCAGTCAAGTGACCTCATCACCTCTTACATCTGGCCACCTAACTCCCCAGACTGCAACCCCGTTGATTAATATGTGTGGGATGCAGTTGATCGAGAGACCAACGAAACTCCTTGTAACACCAAGGAAGACAAAGATTATGGCACCATTTACTAACTTAAACAATGAGACCGTCCAGAAGAAATGCTGGAGACTCCAAAGTCGATTGGAGGCCGTGGTTGAAACCAAATTGTGATTTTATTGAATAAATTTACTCTGTAGTATTTCAAGATATTTTTGTGTCATTTTGGTAAATATATCTGTTAAAATGATATGTCAGTGTTATTTTCATTTTTGCCTAATTTATACGATAATTCATCCGTCACACCCTGTCGTTAGAAACGAGGAGACTGAGGCAAAGATGATCAGGCCCATATAGGCATATAGATATACAGATATGAAGACATTGAGATAGATAGATCGACAGATATGAAGAGATAGACAGACAGATATGAAGAGAGTGAGAGAGATATGGAGAGGTTGAGATAGACACATAGACAGATATGAGGAGATTGAAATAAATAGACACACAGATATGAAGAGATTGAGATAGACATATAGACAGATATCAGGAGATTGGGATAGACAGAGAAATATGAAGCGATTGAGATAGATGGATAGACAGATATTAAGAGATAGATATGAAGAGGTTGAGATAGACACAGATAGATATGAGGAGATTGAGATAGATAGGCAGCAATGGAAAGATAGATATGAAGGAATAGACAGACAAATACGAAGGGATTGATAGACAAATATGAAAAGATTGAGATAGATACGCAGATATGAAGAGATAGATATATAAAAAGATATGAAGAGATTGAGATAGATAGAAATAAAGAGATTGTGATAGATAGACAGATAGATATGAAGAGTTTGAGATAGATAGATAGATAGATACGAAGAGATTGAGATAGATAGATAGATAGATAGATAGATAAATTAACAAACTAGGATAGCTAGCTAGTTCGCCAGGTAAGTGAATATGGACAGGGTTAGACATAATAACAGAGTGCTCCTTGACGCATGTGTATAGAAAAATTGCGTACATTCTTCATCTTTTATGTGCAAAGTCTCTTCAAAATATGACGGATCATGGCTCTCCACAACTTCCTATCATTTGTTGGTCGAAGTAATTTTTCACCCATTACCATCATTATTTGTCCCTATTCTGCTTTCTATTCACACAAAATCTTTAAGTAGTTTACTCGATATTTTTCCGTTTCTCTTGCCTTCACTATACCATGTGAGTATTAAATTCTCTTGGCCCTTTTTTCTCCCTGTGTGTACCAGAAATTTCAACAGTCTCGTTTTCTGATTGCATTGTTAATGCAAACATTAGATTTTTTTTTTCAGCGTTTCACCCCAGGCAAGACGGGAAGCCACTAGGACGCAAGGGGTTACAGAAGATTTAGAGCAAGATCAGATAGGAGTGATAGAGGAAACGATGAGGAAAAGGATAGTGGATAGATCAAGGCAACTGGAGATGTCAGGGTTAGGGTTAGGGTTAGGGTTAGATGAGCATCTAAGAGCAGCTTAGATGTGGCAGAAATCCGAAAGTATGGCGATCGCGCTCACTACTCAGACGTAATTGACTTAGCGAAACAAGCTTGCTATATCTATCGATTTATCTATCTATCTATGGTGATTTTCTAAGCGTAGCTTAGATGTGGGACAAAGCCGAAAGTATGGGGCACTCAGTGAGAATCGAACTCACTACTCAGTTGTAATTGTTCTGGCGAGACAAGCTTGCTAACCCTTGCACTACATCGAAGTTCCCTATGTATGTATGTATGTATGTATGTATGTATGTATGTATGTATGTATGTTCGAGTGGTTAGAACGTTCGCTTTCTGACTATGAGACCCGGGTTCGAATCTCACCATGGTTGATTTGTCAGGAAGGAGACTTCTTGATGTTATCGGTCGGGATGGCGACGATCCCAGCGTGCGGCACCTTTGGAAAGTGCGTGCAAACCATACCACGGGTTGACCCAAACCTTGTGAGTGAAATTGGATTGACGGAACACTTGGAGGACCATCGAAATCACAATCACCGAAGGTCTGAGTGTGCTGGCCTTGTTCACGCTAGATAACACGCTCTCTCCCAGAAACTGTAACTCAGGTCTGCTCAGCATAGTTGCAGTATAAACCACAGGTTGGCTCTGTGGATGTTGAACAAACGCAAATGTGTCTGAACGAGCGTTTGTAATAGGGATTAGGTAGCCACCATAATTGTCGTGTATCCTCTAATACAAGTGGTCAGCTATTTATTTTGTACTAGCAGTAGAGCCCGGCGTTGCCCGGAGATGTAACAGCAAGAGATAGATCAAGTATCGACCATCATAAAAACTGAAAAATAAAATTCACAAAGATTATTGTTTATGGTTGACGGACACGCATGTCTTAATTGTATTTTTTTTTTTTTTACGAATTGGTCAAACCCAAACTCAAACAAAAACATTGTTTTCAATCGTTATGAGTCTATCGATTGAATAGAATTTTATTATAAACAATTGTCTTGTAAATGGAATTTTTAAAGCATTCTGAATGTAAAAATAAAGGAAAAAGTGTGCAAGACAATAAGAAACACTACCTGCCCCCCAAAAAGTGAAGTTTTGTTGAAATCCGTTGAAAAATGTAGGAAATCCGATCCAATATATAAACGAACATACACACACACACAAACAACCAACCTGGGATTTATAATAAGTATAACTCGATATGAGTTGTCCCTCTTTCATTCTCGCGATGCCTCTGAATCGTGTTTTCAAATTGATTTCGTGCAAAACAATTGTGTTTTTCCAATTTTTGGGGCAGTCAGAACCACCGCAAGGTAATTTTACGTAGTCCTGTGAAGTTTTGTTGAAATTTGTTGAAAAATTTAGGAAATCCGATCCAATATATAAACGCACGCACGCACACACACACACACACACACACACACACACACACACACACACACACACACACACAATCTGCGTTTTATAATAAGTAAGATGAATGTATGTATGTATGTAGTGGCGAGCAAGAGAAACGAGTCTCCTCATTAAAAAGATCAATTTGCTTAATTTTTACTATGAAGTACATTCCATCATCGCCGATCGGATTCCGAATTACCGCCAGTCAGGATGAACGGATGTCCCTTCGAGGAGGCAAAATGCCTCGAGAGAATATTGAGCCTCAAACTCACACCTGACTTCAAGTGAAACACTTATATACACTCTATCGTTAAAGATTCAGGTAAAATAATCGGCTCCCTGTACCGCTCCATTAAGTACCTGACTACTCATGCTATCCTCTATCTTAATAAGAGCCAGATCAGGCCGAAAATGAAGAATTGCTGCCACATTTTGGCGGGAGCTGCACAGTCCTGACCTTCCAGTCTTGGTAGAGTTTAAAAGCGTCTCCGAGTCCTTCTTGGAGAAGAATTATTTTCCACTCTCCAACCTCTCTCTCTCACAGGTGGGATATGGCGAGTCTCTCACTGTTCTATCTCTACGAACATGTAAAGTGCTCGGACGAACTACATTCCTTTGTTCCGCTTGCTCTAACCTTTACGGCTAGGATCCATCATGTCACTCACATTGTAGCAAACCACCCACATTCATTCTATATTCCATCGGTGAGAAGCAAGTTCCACTCAAACATTATAACCGTAACCTGTTCAAGTCTAGAGTTAACCGTTATCTCCAGATGTTATGTATAGCTCTCAGCAACCGGGTGTAGGTACAATCAAGCTTAGACTCTAGGATTTTGGTTAACGTCCAAGCAGTGGTACCATAGATTAACACCGCCACTTCAGTGGCTGAAAAGAATCTCCGCGTGAGTTTGCCTGGTAGATCAGATATCCAGATTACATCCATTTTTTCAAGGCGGTCTAGCCTTTAGCTATATTAATTTTCACATCCTTTTTAGTAAAATTTATTTCTCTTTGTGTCATCAGATCCCGAACAACCGCGTCAGGTTGAACGGATGTCCCCTCAAGGAGGATCTGTGCCTTGAGAGAATATTGGGCTTCAAACACACCCCTGGTTCCAAGTGGAACTCGTACATAAGATCCATCGCTATCGATACAGGTAAAATGATCGGCTCCCTGTACCGCTCCTGTAAGTACCTGACTTCATATGCTATCCGCTACCTTTATACGATCAGACCCCAAATCGAGTACTGTTGCCATATTTTAGCGGGAGCTGCATAGTCCTGACCTTCCAGTCTTGGTAAAGTTTAAAAACGTCTCCGAGTCCTTGTTAGAGAAGAATTATTTTCCACACTTCAACCTCTCTCTCTCACAGGTGGGATGTGGCGAGTCTCTCACTGTTCTATCGCTACGAACATGGAAAGTGCTCGGACGAACTGCATCGCCTGGTTCCACCAGGTCTGATCTTCACAGCTAGGATCCGCCATGTGACTTAGATAGTAGCAAACCACCCATATTCCCTCCGAACAGTGAGAAGTAATTTTCACTTAAACAGCTTCCTCTCGCGAACCACTGTCCTGTGGAACGGACTCCCAAGAGGATGTTTTCCCGATAACTAGATTCTTAATCTGTTCAAGTCTAGAGTTAACTGTTATCTTACCCTCCTATCCATATCCACCATCACTTAACGTAACCCTCTACCTTACGGTAAAAGTATTCTAATTATTGTACAATTTACTTTGAAAAGTTGTGTCCGTGATCACTCCAAACAATAAAGCAAGTTTTCAGCTTCACATAGACACTGTACGAAAGATACAAATCTAAACGTACAGTGAATATACTGAAAATAAGCAATACAAAACTATTTAAATATTTCATATATTTGGAAACGTACAGTGAATCGTACAGTGTACTTGGAAATGTACAAACCTGAAAGTGCAGTGAAAATACTGAAAATAAGCAATACAAAACTATTTAAATATTTCATATATTTGGAAACGTACAGTGAATCGTACAGTGTATTTGGAAATGTACAAACCTGAAAGTGCAATGAAAATACTGAAAATAAGCAATACAAAAGTATTTAAATATTTCATATATTTGGAAGCGTACAGTGTATTTGGAAACGTACAAACCTGAAAGTGCAGTGAAAATACTGAAAATAAGCAATACAAAACTATTTAAATATTTCATATACTTGGAAACGTACAGTGTATTTGGAAACGTACAAACCTGAAAGAGCAATGAAAATACTGAAAATAAGCAATACAAAACTATTTAAATATTTCATATATTTGGAAACGTACAGTGTATTTGGAAACGTACAAACCTGAAAGTGCAGTTAAAATACTGAAAATAAGCAATACAAAACTACTTAAATATTTCATATATTTGGAAACGTACAGTGTATTTGGAAACGTACAAACCTGAAAGTGCAGTTAAAATACTGAAAATAAGAAATACAAAACTATTTAAATATTTCATATATTTGTAAACGTACAGTGAATCGTACAGTGTATTTGGAAATGTACAAACCTGAAAGTGCAGTTAAAATACTGAAAATAAGAAATACAAAACTATTTAAATATTTCATATATTTGGAAACGTACAGTGAATCGTACAGTGTATTTGGAAATGTACAAACCTGAAAGTGCAGTGAAAATACTGAAAATAAGCAATACAAAACTATTTAAATATTTCATATATTTGGAAACGTACAGTGTATTTGGAAACGTACAAACCTGAAAGTGCAGTTAAAATACTGAAAATAAGCAATACAAAAGTATTTAAATATTTCATATATTTGAAACGTACAGTGTATTTGAAACGTACAAACCTGAAAGAGCAATTACTGAAAATAAGCAATACAAAACTATTTAAATATTTCATATATTTGAAACGTGCAGTGTATTTGGAAACGTACAAACCTGAAAGTGCAGTTAAAATACTGAAAATAAGCAATACAAAACTATTTAAATATTTCATATATTTGGAAACGTACAGTGTATTTGAAACGTACACACCTGAAAGT